CTGACATTTTGCGTGAGAACCTGTGTCATGAATAATAAAATCCATTCAACGCCGTTTTCCAACGGATCCGAGAGTATCCCGAGCAGCCACAAAAATCGACACCCGGTTTTGTTTTTCTTTTCTTTTTCCAGAAAAAACCGACTACTCAAACAGGAAAAAGGATGTGCCCCAGAAGTAGTTGGTGTTTGGTATTAGATTTCAACCAGTGTGTGTACTTGTGTGATCGTCATTGCGTTTTAGCCCATCATTTATTTGTGCTTGCGTATTTAAACGGACTAAATAGAAGTTGACTCACCTGTTTGTCGAGATTTTCGAGGGGTAATTCAGCCAGTAAAAAGTTCCCACCCCGACCATATGAACTAGTGCGACTAAATGTTCAGCGCGCGGTTATGACAACATACCACGTCTTACATACTAACATATGAAAAACCCGTTCTCTCGTGACTACACAGATATATGTCATTATAATATTGAAATAAATTATAACAATACACATATAATGTGAATACGATGAGTTTCATTCATGTCTTCTGTTCTACTATTAAAAAGATTCACCCCTTTCCGTTCAAGAAAAACATACCTGAAGAGAGAAAGAGACAGGAGTAAACCCGATGATAGTCAGTTGTTTTTCCCACCCGTTCTTCGTGTTATGCTAATGGCTGGTTCTTTTTTTTTTATTATTTCGATTGCCTCGAGAAACCCACTTACCCATATATTATTATGTGCATGCATATGCGTGAGATGCGACTGGATGCGAATATACCACTGAATTTACCTGTATTTTTAATTTTGACTTGGCCCGCGCAAAAAAGGGTCGTTAGAGGTCTTCATGTGTAACGGTCTTCATGGAATCGTTGACCCTTCTATGTATAATACTTTTTGTAATGAATATTTAGTATGTTTTTATATTGAAACAAATAAGCGAGTGTTTCGCAACATTTTTTTCTGAATATTTGTCAACTGAGAAATTTTGTAAAAAATATCCCTTTTCAAATAGTGAATCTTACTCATACAAAACGTACACAACACGTGTAATGCATTACGTCCAAGGCGCCCGTTGGCTGAGACTTACGTCATATCGGATATCCTTTTCATCGCTGAAGTCATTGTTTTTTAATAGAACTTCCGAGATCTTAAATTTTAATTAACTCCAAAACTCATTAAAATGAAATGTAATTTATTCGAAATGAGTTTTTAGCTTCATTTTGAAGCTTAGAAAGTATTGGTTTTACCATGTGTGTTTTTAAAGACAACTCCACAAAATAATGTAATAGGTCAACGACACTGATAAAACAAGAAAATAGTGAAGTGACTACATATCAAAGAATTTACATGACAAAATAACTCATTGACAACGATTCGGAAAAATAAATTTTTATACGCTAACACTTATAGTCTAAACAGCAAGCCCTCACCCAATAAAAAAAAATTTTCTTAAAAGGGAGCAAAGTACTCCAACCGACGGTAGTGTAATTCTCCGTTTATGCATAATTCTAAATTATATCGGTGGAGAATATAATGAAAAACGGGAGAAACGATCGAGGTAAACAATTGAAATCGTTTGACGTGGTTTAACCCCTTCGTCGATATCGCACTTATCACCCCCCAAAAATCGCCGACACTTGTATACTGCAGAGGAGTTACACCGTAATTGGCTAAAGGGTAGTCGAAAATTGAAGAGCTGATAATTTAAATAAGACCGTAAACATAATTAGTCGTTAAAGTGGCAATGTTTTAGACGACACAGGAGTAAGTAAATGGGTTCCGTTTGCCGCGATTACTTTTGGGCGGCTGACACGACAGACGACATCGGTCAGCCTTGTTCTTGTGAGATTAGGAAGTCTGAAATAACAATACATTTTTGTTTTGTATTATCTACCGATACATTTTTTGACATTAATGCGCATTCAATTTTTGTAACGGTATTCTCTTATCGATGGGAAAAGGTGCGGCCGATGAACAAACGCGAAAAAAACCGTTGGGCTTACTGTGGAAGCGCGTGCGCGCGTGTATAAAATTACATGCGACGGATGGAGAAAAAAAAAACCATATAGACCTTTGAGGTGCCTGTACTTGTAACGGCGGCGGCTACAGCGGCGTTGGCCAGGTGGTCCTCTCACTGTACTGTGCATACTCTGAAAAACGATGATGAACAGCTGCATACACGTCGCTGTATGCTCCAACGTGTGTGTGTGTGTCGCTGCTGATGCGTCTGACAATAATTCATTTCATACACACGTTCTCTCTCTGTTTTTCTATGCCTATCTCTCAGATACAATACAGCTTGTCGGTCCAGCGGCAATAATGCAATTTATATTGAAATTTAACGTATTCCTAACGAACTCGTGGGCCGCCAAATTTCAACGTAAGAAACAGCAAAGCAGATGTTCTGCTGTGGCCTATTAGCTAATCCGCAATTTACAGTTAGCAAAAATCTCATCGCGGCTAAAGCGAACCGCCGTGACGTCATAGCGTCGGGCGGTTGCGAGGGAGTTAATGGAAAATCTAATAAGTGTCTGGAATTACTGCAACATTTAGGGCCAGTTAATCGGATTTTTCCCCTTCATCGAACATACACGTACAAATTGTCTGTTTGGGACTTATAAAGAACGCATACATCTTAAACATAAGCTGTGCCGGTGACATTTATTTATTTTTTATTAGACGCTTGTGCATGATTCATATTTTTCAAGTTTGTGCAATAAATTATAATTTCAATGACACGAAAAATTCCATGAAATAATAATTCAATCTACTTTCTTCCTCCTCATCAAATGCATTTCCTTTTGACATTTAAACGGAAGATGAATGAATTCATTACGTTAGAATTACTTATTTCGATTAATCATTGTCATTTTATCAATTAATCTATTACTACGGTGAGCTAAAGTATTATACTTGTATTTGAATAACTATTACTGATTTTCGGATAAAAAATCTACGGTCTATCTGTGTAAATTAATTATTCCCACATCGATAAAACGATGTTATCGTTATGCAGATGAATATCATTTCAAAAACTCAATATATTTTTTTACTCGTTATTTTTCAGTAAATAGAAAATGTAACAAACACTGAACGTTCGCTGACAATAGTGTTGCTGGCGGATTTTTTCTAAACCCGACTGCGAAGGTCAACCCTTGAAATCGTGTGTTTATGTAAACAAAGCGTCGCGATCGAGGCGTAAGGTTAAGAACCTCAGAAGAGAAGAAACGATGTGTTTATTTTCCGGTTAACACGCCCACGGGGGCCGGCCGTGGACGTTTGCGCTCGCGAATCTCGCACCGGTGCGGTGCGTTTCAAGTTCACTCGGACGACGCGCAAACGCGCCAACCTGGTCGCACGTGGTACCAACGTACGGCCGTTGTGGGCGGACACCACGTGGTGTGTCGCACGCGAGCCAGCCGGACGTGTGCGTAAAGTATTGATTTTATGCGTAACTCTCTTCCCCGACGTCGGGTGATTCATCACGGACCACCCCCGTCCGTCTCGTCGTCTTCACCCCCCGAACGGTCTACCGCGTTTGCATCGCCACCGCACGACTACCAAACAATTGGCACGTTGACTGCAGTGAAAGGATCAAACGTGTTTTACCGTAAAACAACAAATGTGTAACGGACTGCTGTGTTGTGAAGGTACCTTTGAAACACACTTCAAGATTGGTAAACGGCGTCAATTTTTTTCAGTGTCCAATCAAACGAGCGTCACACTGTTCCCCGCCAAATGAGCTCAACCGTTTAATTATTCTCACGAAATTTCATATTTACGTTGCGCCACGGAACAGATTGTAAAGCTCATCAGCAGCCGCCCTGAGCAACTCGCGTACCACTTTTCGAAAAAACGTCAAAAAAAAAAGGTTTCGTCAGAGGACTTTTTTCAGCGATGAAGCAATTATTATCTCGGTGTTGCCATCATTTATTCGAATAAATATCTCGCGTTATCTTGTTGGAGTTTTTAGGGGTGAAGGATTTTTTTAACGCGGAAACTGCGTGGATCGAGCTTAAGATGCACACGGCCAGCATAAATCATGTTGAGTCGAACAACTTTGCTCACACACAAGGGCTCCGTTAAACGCATACTCTTCCGGCGACGGTGAGCTTATCGGACCGATTTACCCTATCGGGGGCAGTAAATCACGATTAATATTATTAATATGTATAAATAACGACTCGGAGAAGAAAAAAAAGAAATTAAAAGTAATAATGAACGGCTGACAACAATGGGGAGTCGGCATTTCCATTTCGGGCGGCCGTTTCAGAGCTAACGCAAAGGGCGTAGGCAATAAAACGGAAATCGACCGTGATCCGTACGCGAATTATTATTATTTTTTTTTCACTCGTATACATTGTGTATTATTTTGAATTTGTGTACACTTAATAATATTTTCGTGGCAGATGGGTGCCAGATGTCAATATACGGCGACGTTCGTGTGTGTACCTATACTAATCCAGACAAGCATATGCGATGACCTACCGTGTGTTAGTCAACGGAGACGTCTAGGATACGTGAAATGTTCTAAAATTAGAATTTATAATTTTGCACCCGCGTACACACAACTGTGCGCGAGTTGGAGTTTTCCTGAGAAAATATACTTTACTCTTTTCGCAGTCTAATAACTTCAGTTGCAATGATAACACATTTCCAATGGCCACGTGAGCACTGAAATACANGAGAAAATATACTTTACTCTTTTCGCAGTCTAATAACTTCAGTTGCAATGATAACACATTTCCAATGGCCACGTGAGCACTGTAATGAAAGAGGTCCAATCGTTACATTCGAGTAAATCCCTTTAACCCGAGACAACTTTTAGGGATTTTTTTTTTTATTTATTTAAATAGACTGTCGTTTTTCGGCTCGACCTTTGTGTCTCAGGAAAAACATTGTAATCGCAATGAAATTATGCGCGTCTGCTGTAGTTGTATTTGATTGTTGTTTATTTACTTTATTCGTATTCCATTTTTATTTTATTTTATTTATTTTATGAACTGTTGTTTCAGCACCTTCTCTATCTGACCAACGAATCCTACCCTAGAGGGGAAAATCGAAGAGGGCGCGGAAAAGGAAGCCGAGCGGTATGTTATATTATTTTATTTTCAGCGATTTTTATTTGTATAACAATTTAGATTTATTATTTTGTTAACTCTTAGTATTATTATTATTGTATTTCTAGTGTAGTTTCTAGAAATTGTATTTTATTTGTCAATCTAACTTCGTTTAAAGACGTGTTTTAAGGTATTTTTATTTTAAGTTGTTAGCTAACTTGTTACAACATCGGATAAAATAAATAAGAGCAAAAATAAATTTGCCGTCGCGCCAGACAAAGAGACATCTAGCGCTTTGCGCGCAAACTAATAATGTTAAACGTTTAAGTATACTCTACCGATTTATGACGGATTGGATCACTTCCAGGAACATTGTTGTTGATTTGCTTTTTAAACGATCGCAATTAACAAAGATAAAAAGTTGGTAAACTACTGTTGACGTAATTCAAGTGGTCTGTTACCTTTCCGAACGTTGGCAAAATGATAAGTGCACTCGAAATTGCACATCGGATGGGTAAAGCGAAAAAGGATAATCAGGGTCGTTGATCGTGTGACATTGACTAGGTTCAGGGTTAAGGTCTGCGTTCAGCCCCACGGGTTTACCAGAGATCCAGTACTTCTACCCAAACGGGGTTATTAGGCGAAATCCGGCGGTGGCTGAGAGGGCACTTTGTTGTCAAATACACGGGCGAACCGCTTTACTCGCTGTCAATGGGGTCGACAAACGTGCCGGCCTTCGTTGTGGGGTAGGACAGGGCAGACAGACGCATGGAACGCTAAAGGTAGGAAAAAGCGCCGTACCGGAAATGTAACCGGCGGCATTTACACGATCCTTACGCGTCTCACCACCACCTCCCCTCGACCCGCAGTAACCATGGCACCACCGTAAAGTTCCGTCTACCTTGAATGGATAATATTAGACGGGGTAAGTGACAAATCGATTACCGTCGATCTATGCGACCACCCTACGGGTACCTTATTTATTATCGTTGCATTTTTTTATTCCCCAAAACGATTTACACAACTCCACCCACTTCAATAAAACGATTGCTGTGGCATGTTTTCGGTACGGTAATTACAACACGATAAACCTTATTTGCATCGAGATTGGGAGAAATCGGAGTACGGTCATGTGGGGAAAACGGTTCGTGTCTGCAAAAAAACTAATCAGTACCGACGGTAATTAAATGAGCCGTCTGAGTAATAATAAATGAGAAAAGTAGTGGCGGCGAGACGCTAAAAGGGTTTGCCGATAACAATATTACATTTCTCTGACAGGCAGACGACGATGATTCATTTTGGTTGCTGAATTTCGAGATAATTTATCCAATTAGAAATACGCGTTTGGCAACGTTGCGTGTTTATCGATTTTTTTTCTCGTTCGAAGTAATAGTCGTCATAAAATAGAACGTGTTCAACGAAATGATGTTCGCCGTATTTCGGTCTGTATAGGCAAATTCAGCGTTTCGCTGCGACAGGATTTGTATCTCGTGTTGTACGTCGAGAGAAATGATAATTGTTGTTTTCGGTGAACACGAAAACACTTCGATAATGTCGTTGGTATCTTATTTTAAAAAATGGCATCCTCCACCTCCTCATTCTTTCATTATTTTAAAACCTCCCGCAAACGTGTCAACTAGCCGGAATTTAATATTTTACTTTTATTACTGTTCTTTTTTAACAAGTTTTATCTTTGGGCGAATAAAAAATGTATTCTTTTCTAACTGCAATAAAAATGATAAATGACGCGCAAAAATGTTTTCAATTAGATTTCGTTGCTATGATGCTTTGTAATAATTTTTTACCAATAAATCATAAATTTAAAATAAACATTACATTTTTACAACTTCTATTCGTCTTTTTATATTTTAAGCTCAGACAAAAATGATTTTTTTNCGCAAAAATGTTTTCAATTAGATTTCGTTGCTATGATGCTTTGTAATAATTTTTTACCAATAAATCATAAATTTAAAATAAATATTACATTTTTACAACTTCTATTCGTCTTTTTATATTTTAAGCTCAGACAAAAATGATTTTTCTTTTTGCGGTCATAAAAGATTTTATTTTCTATATTGTTAAATGTAAATTTAGTGCAAATGTGCTTAACAAAGTTTCAAACACATGACAATATTGTTAATTGGTATCAAGTGTCCTACTGCTGTTGCTATAGATAAAACGTAATTAAGATAAAGTGAACACAAAAAGCCTTTATACGTTGCAATAATGAAATTTTTTTTCGTTTCATACAAATTTATTGGATGAGTTTAAGTTGTGGCTAATCAATTGTCATGTTGTTTAAAAAAAACAGTTTTTATTAGTTTTTTTGCAGCCAATAATAACTGATGTTTTTAATTTATAAAAGAAGAATGTTAATTGTTTTTCAAGACCGTAGTATTGAACTTGCTTCACTTATGAATCAATAAGTGATTAATAATATGGAATCAACTTGTAAAACTTGCAAAAACTTATAACGAACTTATAAAATTATGTATAGAATAGTTTAAACTTTTCGTCAAATCGAAATATCATCATCAAATTTCAATTTATATAGAAAAATTCAACCCTATATAATGTATTTCAAAATATGATTCAATAATTAATTGGGAAATCGTTATTACAACACTAACAATTTTTAATTCATATTTAGTTCTTTGTTTTTAGTAATATTTTATTATTTAGATTCTCTAATTAAAATATTTATTTTTTTATTTTTTATTTCATTCTATATAAATATTTTATTAAAAAAATATATCTGAACAAACATTTTTAACGTTTTATTTGATTTTGTTTTATGGAAAAAAATAATACAATTCCTTGAGTAACAATACCTGGAAATCGGTTGACAGCTAAATGGCCTCGACCCTTACAAAAAACACTTGACCTACATCGTTAAAGTCATTGTAGAAGGTGGGATGTGGAGACACGATAATTTTACTACTGCTACCGTATTATTATTATTATATCTGTACTGATAAAAACGTCTATTGTTATTATTAACGCGATAAATACTGTGTTGCCCGGTAGTTATCGTGTCCATGTTAACACTGTTCGACGTGTCCCCCCCAGGGCTTGCGCTTACTCTGGACGCACATATGCACTGGAAGGCTGGAGGATAGATAGACTGGTGAGTGGTGGTCGTCTGCTTCAGGGAATCGTTGTTTTTTGATACCAGTCGCCGTGCTCCGCTGTTATCGACCGTACCGTGCGCCTCTTTACATAAAAATATCTAATTGTTATTACTTTAACGACAACTACAGCACATTAGTCGAAATTACTAACGATTTCTTTACTGCATTTAGCGATAAGTACCTAAATGATGAGTCTCGTTTCAAATTTACAATAAATGTTATCCAGTCGTATGTGGTGAGATTTGAATTTATTTTTGAAAAAAAAATTTTTTTATTTAAATGAATTCATATGATTTCGGATTTAAAAATAAGTGTGTTTATTTTTGCGCATTTTTTGGATATCAAATTGTCTTGTAAATGTGCTTTGATTGCACTAAAAAATGCTAATTTTTACAAATAATTACATTTCTGTCAATATGTTTAATCGTGTTTTAATTAATTTGTATTGTTAAACGTTGATTTTGTTCTTTGGACAGTGGCGTATTATGTACTATTGTTGTTACGATACTATCAGAGTTTTACTACTCGATACGTGTAGTTTGGTGCGTGTGCATACACATGTGCGCGGGTGGGCATAATAATTTGACGAATGGTTAAGGAGTAGGAGAACTGACAGGCTTTGGCTGTGGTATGGGCAATGCATATTAACAACTAATTGTAAAAATAGGTCTATCGATGTGATACGATACTTTAAAACTTCAGTTGTTTTGTTGAGTCAGGATAGACTTTAGGAACTTCGATATGCAGGTTCGTTATACATTTAAATAAAAATGTTGTGTATTCAAAAATCGGGCGCCATAAATATGTCAATATACGAAAGTATTAATAATTATTAAGGAATCGTTAATTTTAAAAACTTGTTCATTATTTCCATTATTGTTAAATTATGTACTTGCTCATATATTTAATACAGTACATAGGTAATGTACAAAATGATTCTATTAACAAATCTCTGATAAATCTATTTAAAAGATGATATAAATAATACAGACCTCATTTTATAGGTTAAATAAATTTTTAGTTAATTATGTACTTCATAAGCGAATGTATGATAGTCATATACTGAAATGTAAAGTTTAACATAACCACCAGAATTTTTTTTTGAATAATTGTAGTTTGATTTTTGTACCCATACATAAATATAAAGTAGCTCATGTACTGATTTATATTTTTTAATTAAGACGTCATCTTAGCGATAAGATTATATATTATTGTTTAACGATTATTATTGCTATTAATAATCGTTTAAGGCGCAGATTAACTAATTTGAAATGTCATTATGATATCGAACTATAAATTGATTAGAATAAAAATGTACGAATTCACTGTGTTTCGTACATGAAAACGAGTTTTCATTCATAATAAAAGCTTGTTGTTACGGTGGAAAAACATCCCTACTTCCATTCTATCCTTTCGTGGTTGAATGCTGGTCGCCTGACAGGATTTAAACGGGTGCTGTAACAAGTGCATCTCGAAACAATATTGTGTTAGGTCGTGTCGAGAATCCCCTTTTGCATTCTCTCCATTCTCCGGACATGAGAAGAAAAAATACAATACACTTACTTTAGATATTGACATGGGCAAGAAACGATGTAAACGTTATTTTGGCACTGGCTCAATGTGACACCACCCACTGTTGTTTCTATAAATGAACACACCATTCAATTTCATTCTTGTATTTTGTATTCTATTTATATAATATAGTAATACATTTAACAAAAGTCGTTTTTATTTACAGTCTTATAGAAACAAGGGAAATCGTTCAATATCTGGAAATCCGAGTACACCTCAACCATCCCCCGGACCAACAACTCCGTTAAACGGAGCTCCGAATTCCCCCGTGATTATGAACGATTCTCATCACAATAATTCGGTTAGTATAAATTTATAAATTATAAATTAGTGTATTAATCATAGTAACTAAATTAAATTTTTATAGTTATCTGGAGCTGTACTGACTACGAACGGAAACGGATTCTACAGTAACCAACCGGTTAGTATAATGGAATCGGATCCCAATGGTATTGCTTTCAGGGATAATAGATTTGGAACACCGGCGACGGTATGGCACTCAACCGATGGAAATGCATTAGGTTCGTAAAAAATAATAATAATAATAAAATAATGCACTTTATTTATTATATTTTACTAATAATTTTTTTTTTCGTTTAGGTTGGACTGCTGTCACTCAAGCTCCTCAACCTCAGTATGTAGGCCAACAAATTCAATTGGAAGATATCCGATACCATTCGCCTGCAAATACATTACATTATTCCGCTCATGCTCCACCGAACGTTTATAATCAGCCGGGGTACCAAACGGTAAGTGCGGCTCAAACCCCAACCACCGGTTTTATTCAAGTGAGCAACGGATTTGCGCAACAGCCTACCCAAGTTACCACCAGTTCATTGATGAACGGCGTAGCACCCACAATTAATGGTAACGTCGAATATTTAGAAGCTCCCGGTAGAACCGAATTCACAGTGAACGGAACATCAAATTATAATCATATTCCTCAGACTGTATGTTCATTTTTTATAAAAATAAATCTATTTCATTATAATTTTGTAAAATATTTGCTTTGCTTTTTTGTACAATAGGGACAAGATCATTCACCTACGTCACAAAATATGGATTCAACAAATGACACATCTTCCAAAGTTATAACGCACAATGGCTTTAGTCAACCTGGTGCGGGAAACGCGATACCTGGGTACCCACTTCAACAACCTCCCCAATCACAACAGAGTTTACACAACTCTAATGGGTAAATAAATCCATTTGATAAATACCTTTAAGTCTCAATTAATTTTGCTATGTAAAAAATATTAATTACTCTTATAAACAGTGTAACTCTTAAACTTTTAATCTTATTAATTTTCTAATTAATATAAGCATAATATTGCAATGTATTTGTTGAGCAATTCCTAAAAAGTAAACTTGATTCTTGAAAAGTATATATTTTTTCCACTCATTAATTAGTTTAAATGAGAGTAAATTATATAAATAGCAATTGCTAATTTAAGTATTGTGCATCGACATAGCTAAAACAAAACAATTTTTTTTCAGGTACCCAGGTAAGAACGACGGAAATTCCGTAGGGGAGGAAAGAACCCGAATTTCAGATTCTCCAGCTACTGGTGTGTGGGGACAATCTAACAATCAATATGACCCATCGCCTCCATCATCTGATAAAAATAATTTGAATAGTAGAATTAAGTCAATGATTTTAAACAAACAACAATATCAGCAACATTATATACAAGATCGTTCTCAAGATCAACAACAAACACAGCACCAAGTGTCTAGAAGTCCTCAGCATCAACAATATATTACAGATCAATTGAGTCCAAATGATCAGAATAATCGTCAGCAACTACATCAACAAGCACAGTTACAATTACAACAACAAGTTCAACAGCAACAGGCTCATCAACAAGCTCAACAACAAGCAAAGCAACAAGCACAACAACAAGCGCAACAAAGTGCTGCACAACATCAGCAATACTTAAATGAACAATATCAAAATGAACAAAGACATAGTCCTTTAGAGCAAAATAATCATGTGAAAATGCATCACCAACAAATGCAACAGCAGCATCAACAGATGCAACAACAACAACAGCATCAGCAGCAACAACAGCAACAACAGCAACAACAGCAGCAACAGCAACAACAACAACAACAATTGCAGCAACAACAACAGCAGCAGAAACAGCAACAATTGCAGCAGCAACAACAACAACAACAACAACAGCATCATCAAAATATGCAGCACATGCAACAACAATTACAACATCAGCAACACGTACATAGGCAGCAAATAATGCAACTGCATCAAGATGCAAAAAGTCCTTTAGACCAAAAAGATCATCAGCAATACATGGTTGATACTAAACAAAATTTAATTAGCAATAATTTTTTAGTCCAAGGCCACCATCCTCGGAGCTTAGCTACTGAGGGTGGTGGCTTTTATACGGATATCAGACGATATCCGAATCACCATCACCAACAGCAACTTGAACACATCAACAACCAAAAATTTATTAAACAATCTAAATTAGAAATAAAAAGAGAAGCGAATAATATTCCGTATGATGCCAGTATAAAAATATTACCTTTTGGAAATGATCCCCAAGTAACTGTAAATAACAATTATGTATTTTGTGACAATGGTGGACCTATTTCAGTTAAAGAAGAAGTCGATCCCTGGTGTCGCCATTCAGGTGAAATAGATACTTCAAAACATCTATCTGATGCATGTCAAAAGCTAATAACTCAAGATGAATTTATAGATCACGGTGAAATTAAACAAGAAACCACTCCCAATAGTTCATTTACTTACGATCAAGAAGAGAAGTAAGTTTTACTTCAAATGTTCTACTACTTTAGTGTACAAAAAAATATATTAATTACATTTCCAATATTTTAGATTAAAAAATACTGTAAAAAATCAAGTTTCGGAGTGCGACTGTTTCCCAGATGACCAAGCTCCGCCCGAACCAGGTCCTTTTTATACGCATCTTGGTTCTGCGTGTAATTTAACAGAGTTAAGAAATATCATGGAAACCATGTCTGGTATAAAAGGAAAAGGAATTCGAATGGAAAAGGTAACTATTTTTTTAATCATAGGATTTTGTAATCAAAATATCTGTTGACACGTTTTTATAATATTTTTTTTTTAGATCTTATACACGGGCAAGGAGGGTAAAACAGCACAAGGATGTCCACTAGCCAAATGGATAATACGACGATCATCGACTGAAGAAAAAATTTTATTGGTCGTTAAAAATCGCAAAGGACACAAGTGTGAACATTCTTGGATTGTTGTGTGTATAGTGGCATGGGAAGGTGTTTATTCTGATGAAGCTGATTCTTTGTATTCAATGCTTTCCATCAAGCTTAATAAGTAATTATCTTGTAGTTAGCAAAAAAAAGTTAAAATTACTATATAAACCGTTATTTTATGATTTTATTTATATTAGATTTGGAGTACCTACTACTAGACGATGTGGTACAAATGATCCACGTACGTGTGCGTGCCAAGGATTAAATCCAGATAAGTGTGGGGCTTCATTTTCCTTTGGATGTTCTTGGTCTATGTATTACAATGGTTGTAAATATGCTAGAAGTAAAGATGTGCGAAAATTTAGACTGTCCGTCAGATCTGAGGTAAAAATAAAAAAACTATTCATTAAGTCATTTGTACAATTTTAAATGATTCCATTTTAATGTATCGTTATTAAAATTTTAGGAACAAGAATTAGAGGAAAAATTGCAGTCATTAGCCACGTCAGTTTCGCCGTTATATAAGTCATTGGCACCACGGTCATTTAGTAATCAAATTCAATGTGAACGTGAAGCTTCTGATTGTCGACTTGGATTTAAACCAGGTCGACCTTTTGCAAGTGTAACTGCTTGTATTGACTTTTGCGCTCATGCTCATAGAGATTTCCACAATATGAATAATGGATGTACAGTGGTAAGTTTATTAGATTAGATTTTAATCATTGGTTTTAATAAATAAATAAATATATTTTAAAGGTTGTCACATTAACTAAACATCGTGGTTTGGAAAAACCTGACGATGAACAACTACACGTTCTTCCTCTATATGTCATCGATAATTCGGACGAATTTGGAGACGAGCAAGCTCAAAGCGATAAATTCAAAAACGGGTCGATCGAAATGTTATCTAAGTATGTAATAAATAATCCATTTAACAACAGAACAACATTTTACAAATATTTTCCATAATGTATAGATTTCCTTGCGAAGTGCGAGTCAGATCTGTGCCACTTACTCCATGTCGAAAAAAAAAACAAAAAAATTTTGAAGGTGAATCACCCAAGAAAAAACAATCTAACTCTTTGTCACAAAAAAAAGAGAAAACTTATGATGCACAAGTCCAAAGTTCACAGGTATTAAATACATAAATTAATATATATATTTTTTTCAATATATAATAATTAAATTGGTTAAAATATGATAACAGATGGACCTTCTAATCACTTGAGTTAATTTTTTAATTTTATGTTTTAGGTTTCTTCAACAGTTATTGACAGCCCAACAATGAGTATGTATCAGCATTGGAACCAACAAGGTCTTTTGGGACAGAGTTCAGCTCCTGATTTTTACAGCAGTCAAGAATATAGTAATTTAAATAGCCCAAGTAAGATTAATAATCATTATTTAAGCTATATGGGTTCGACTAACTTATAACAACTTTTAGTAACAATTTACTCGAACATAATGAATAATACCGATTCAAAACTTCATAGTCGATCTTTGTCAAATGACTACAATCACGTTCGGAATCTATGGCCACCTGTTGGGGGTGGTTTGCCTGGTGGTAAACCTATAAAACCGGAGTTAGGGAGTATTTCACCGTTGCTTCAAAAGCCTTCTAATTATTGTAACCAATCTACCAGTTATGAGCAAAACAAAGTAGCAACAATCGAGGTGACGAATATCAACAAAAATAATTATTACAATAAATCTAGTCAAGTCCGACCTAGTCTGACACATGTGGCTACTCCACAAAATGTTTCACATGGTAACTCGCTCATTCGACACCCTTCGAACTTATATCAACCAATGATGGCTGATCACCATTATTGGCCAACCTATCTTAATGTTATGCCGCAGCAATTCTATCATCAAGACTCAACAATTATGTACGATCAGGTAAGTTTTATAAGTTTTCTCAAAATAAATAAAACTATGTATTTATAGTTAAACTTAAATTTATTTACAGGGGATGTCTCAATACCAGCTTCAAAAGTGGGATTTATACGGACCGACACCGTACTTCCCCTCAGTTGTTGCACCTGCTGAAACGGCAACACATAAACTTGATTCCCTAGGTGAAGTGACTGATTTCATTGAAAACAAAGAATGCTTTAAAGTAAATACGACAAAAAATAAAAGGAATATTTGAGAATAGTTTATTAATAATATCTTTATTGGTATGGCGTAGGATCCCGAAATGGGTGGAGTAGCTATTGCCCTTAGCCATGGTTCTGTGCTCTTCGAAGTAGCAAAACATGAATTGCATGCTACCACGGCGCTGCGGAAACCAGACCGGTTACATCCAACTAGAATAAGTTTAGTTTTTTATCAGCACCGTAACCTGAATCGACCAAATCACGGATGGGTCGAATGGGAAGAAAAAATGAAGGTGCGAAAAATGGGATCTACTACTTGTAACAACACTACTGCGAATGCGTACACTCAAACAGCAGGAGACCCGACATTGGCCACAAATACAACGACAACGTGGACAACATTATTCCCCATGCATCCGTGTATGGTAACTGGTCCATACCAGGAAAAGCCGTCAAAATTTTGTTGAGTATCGCAGTGATTTTGTCCCCTGTTTTATTATTAATACTATTATTATTTCTTTTTAATTTATTATTCTTTTCTTTTTCTTGAATTCCACTGAATGCCAAAGATGCTAAAGTAATAACGTTTTATAATTGAAACGAAAATTTAAATTTAATTACTCATTACGATTAAGGAAGATAACTAAATGGTTTTAATTATCAATTTTTAACCACAATTTTTGTTGTCAATTGTTTTACTTTTTGTTTTAATTTATTTTTATTTTTTGTATATATTAGACAATTAAGACCCTTCTTAAAAAAATATATATTGTGTGTATTATTTTTATAGATACTTTTTTCGCGTATGATTCCAAATACTTAGTGTTTTTATTTTTGTACTTTAAATTATCACGTTTACGTGTATGTATATAAATTATCATTGATGTATTTGAGATATATTAAACAGTTCTGATATTTTATGAACTGAAAATGTCAAGTTTGGTTGTAAATCGCCAACTTTATCGCCCACAAGTTTTAAATGACTGATTTATCAGTTCCCTATATTTTGAAATGTAATTGTAATGTAATTTGTGTTCATTGAAGAGATCTCTACGGTCGTTACTAAAAACCCACCCGACTTATTAGTTTTAGAATAAAAAATTCAAGTAAACTTACTTTAAAATCAGAATTAAAAATATGAAATACATGGAATTTGACTGATTAGGAGGTAGTTTATCTATCATAGGTATATAGTGTGTGAATTTCTTAGTATTATAGAAACACTTATAAATTATAAGTCATAATCATAGTATAATGTATACTCAAACGCTCATAAAATTTTTGTAATAATTTTTATTTAGAATAATAAAATGTATACATTTTTGTAAAAACAGTGATTCAACATGAACAGTTTCACTATAAATATTTTAAATAAATGATTAAATTTATATAAATAATATATAAATATATATTTTTGGAAGACTTTTTTTTAGGGAAAAAATATATGAAAATTTAATTATATGTTAAATTTCAAATAAATATTTTAAGATGTTGCAATTTTTGTATTCTAAACGAAAAATAATGATGTTAATTGAATATTACTAATTATTATTGTGTGTTTCATGACAGATCTAAGTCATATTTTATGATTGTGGTAGTATGTCATGTAATTTTAATCGAACCATTGGTGAAGTTATCGAGCACTGAGCTTTTTTAAACGATGAGTACAAAAAAATAATGTTTTTATTTTATACCTAACATTAAACAATTTTTCACATGAAATTTCATTTTATTTTAAATTTTCTACAAAACATTTTTCTCGTTAAAAAAGCCTGTCTTCCAATGTGTTTTTTGTTTGTTTTGAACCGGTAAATAATTTCTAGTTTTTATGTATAAATTAATTTAATTATATTATAATTGTATTTTTTTTTTTTTTGTAATCTTATCCCTATTTAATTTAATTTATTTTAAGGCTTATTTATATACACCATCAAGAAACTATTGAATTTAGCATTGTAAGTTAATCGAATGTACCTACCAATGAATTTCTCTTGAATAAAGAGTTTGTACACACTTATAAAATACGGACATCATTTATTATGAAGTATTCATTTATCCTGTTTGTCATGATAACACTTTTATTACATTTTTTTAAAATACGATTTTTAAGTCGTAATGACAAAAAACGTATATTTGTGATTTTTAAAAATAAATAAGAATTTCTCTCAATTTAAACTTGGGCAATATCATTATTATGTAATAACTGAGCCCCAGTTATAAATTTCAACAATCGCCGCTTAAAATAAAAACACAAAGTGTATTTAAGTCGATAGTCACGTTTTAAATTTGAATTCAATTTGTTCACCTTGCCCATAAGTTTTTTATTATGTTTTACATTATATACGATAATTGCCACTTGAAAACAAATCCTATTTCTTATATTCAACCAGTCAAAAAACGCTTTTAGAACAAGCAAAACAATAATTTTTTGTTTCATCTAAACACTTTCTTAGTATTATATATAAAATATTACATATAAGTTATCGCCATACGAATATAAACAATAGTAATAATATTATTCACATTGTATATATAATTTCTATGTAAGTGGAACCTAATATTTTATCATACGAAAATATGAAAGATAAAACATTACAATGGAGTATACATAAATAAAACGATGAGAAATATATGTACATACGTTTGTAGAAAGTTTTATCAAGTTACTAATTTACAAGAAATAAATTAAAATTAGAGGTAGAAATAGATTAAAAAAAATTTTAAATTAGTTTTTAAAGTTTTGGCGACTATAACAATAGTTTTATTGAATGGTATGAAAACTTACAATTGTTATGGAATCAGTAATAACAAATTGAAAATCTTACTTCACTATTTACATGGCACATTTTACCGTAATTTAATTAGTTTTCTCACAGAATTGAACTCTTCTATTTTTATTAAATTAAATAATTAACGATCTAAAAAGTTTTAATTGTTTCACTTACATTAATACTTGTACTCAATGTGAAAATTACAAGAAAACATTTATTTAAACATGATGTATCATGTACACGTATACATTAAAAAAGGTTTCACGAGTTTAGTTATATAATGAAAAATAAAATTTCATTTTTATTGTTAAGAAAAAAAAATTGTTGAGAATAACTCTGTACTTCCTGATTAGGGAATCGAAAAGTAAAAGATTTTAAAATATGTTCGGTAACTTAGATTAAGAAATTTTTTTATAAGTTTTAACTCTATTTGAACTCTATAGGTAAGTATCCTACTCGATTAACTGCAAATGTGTAATAAATGTACGTTTGTGATGAGCACACTGACGTGATCAAATGGGGACTGAGATCATGTAGTGTATAATTACGACGCAGTCCTTTGTCGCCGAAGCAAATTTTCCACGGACACGAACAAATAACTTCGACAGGTTTTTTTCTCCTTCACTTGTCTCCACCCCTTCGTTCTTGACAGAAAATATTTTAAATGTAATAACACTCTAAACTTTGGACAAACTGTGCCGCACGCGATGCGATAACAATTTTCAATGTCGCCAGTAATTGTAAGATTGACTTGCGATTTACGCGTTTCGCGGGTGTGTCGATTTCATATTTTTTCCCATACAGTTGAATGTGCTCTCCGTACACTTCTAATAACGTCTATTAAAACGTGCGTAATGGAAGTATCGAATAATAATATGGCTTATGAAGAACTGAATGGAGGAAAAAAACACAAAATGTATCCGGAATACAATAGAAACGGTGAGAGCCGCCGGCTAAGCTGCTCAATTATATGGAAGATGTGTGCGCGTGTGCTTAAGGTCATGAACGAGGTTTTGGAGACTGAATACGACGATATTTTATGCTTAATTAAGTCCTAAAGGCGTGCCGTAAAAATTCGCAATNTTTTTTATTATGTTTTACATTATATACGATAATTGCCACTTGAAAACAAATCCTATTTCTTATATTCAACCAGTCAAAAAACGCTTTTAGAACAAGCAAAACAATAATTTTTTGTTTCATCTAAACACTTTCTTAGTATTATATATAAAATATTACATATAAGTTATCGCCATACGAATATAAACAATAGTAATAATATTATTCACATTGTATATATAATTTCTATGTAAGTGGAACCTAATATTTTATCATACGAAAATATGAAAGATAAAACATTACAATGGAGTATACATAAATAAAACGATGAGAAATATATGTACATACGTTTGTAGAAAGTTTTATCAAGTTACTAATTTACAAGAAATAAATTAAAATTAGAGGTAGAAATAGATTAAAAAAAATTTTAAATTAGTTTTTAAAGTTTTGGCGACTATAACAATAGTTTTATTGAATGGTATGAAAACTTACAATTGTTATGGAATCAGTAATAACAAATTGAAAATCTTACTTCACTATTTACATGGCACATTTTACCGTAATTTAATTAGTTTTCTCACAGAATTGAACTCTTCTATTTTTATTAAATTAAATAATTAACGATCTAAAAAGTTTTAATTGTTTCACTTACATTAATTCTTGTACTCAATGTGAAAATTACAAGAAAACATTTATTTAAACATGATGTATCATGTAACACGTATACATTAAAAAAGGTTTCACGAGTTTAGTTATATAATGAAAAATAAAATTTCATTTTTATTGTTATAAAAAAAAAATTGTTGAGAATAACTCTGTACTTCCTGATTAGGGAATCGAAAAGTAAAAGATTTTAAAATATGTTCGGTAAC